TAACTATCTTAAGTAATCGACAAGTTGAGAGTAAATGACCAAAACAAAAATATACACTCGAGTATATTATTTATAAGTGCTTCTGCGAAACAAAAAAAGTTTGGGAAACAAAAGCACTAGGAGAAACTCCCGAAGAGCGGGGTCCTGGAGTTACGTTATTAGGTCACTAACAAACTGAAATGAACTCAGCCACTTCAGCTACACCTTTGATATGAAGCAGAAAAAGTATGTTCCCTCAAAGTTCGCAGGTGTGTGTACGGCTCAGCACAGCGGAACTCGGGGAAACCCACTTTCTCTGCGAAAAAAGGACTTCGGTAAAACCTGCCAGAGCACCTGGCTGAGGAGACGTCATTCCCTGCTCCGTTTTCTTAATTAAAACTATTTTCTTGATCTCGTATATACACCTTTCTCTGAAAGTATAAACAATTACGTGCCTACCCTAAGAAAGCCCACTAAGTAACTTGCAATAATGAAGCATTGAATAGCAAGTTATTAGCCGTTTTAATCAAATGAATACAGGACAACTTAAAACCCCTAAACCAAGTAACTGGGATTCATTTAATAAGAAGGGACAGCTCAAACATTGATTTAAAATAACATGCGAAGCCCCAGTATGGTTACCAAATAGGAAAATATTTTTTAAAAGTACATGAGTCGATTTCATGACTTCTTGTTAGTGTGAGATATGGAGCGAAGCATTCAAACAAACTTACCTTTGCTGGTGGCATAATAGATATATTTTTAAATTAGACATAATTTCTAAAGTTCTTATATGGTAGCTCAGAGGTCAACGAAGGTAGAATTTCGGCAGCACATTTTACATTTTCCGTGCATAAAAAATGCTACATTTGTGTCGTTATTATTTTTTTTTATCAAGCTTTTTAAACCAAACCTTTAAATCAGAGTTTAAATCTCACAAATAACTTTTAAAATGTAGGTTCCGAAGCCATTTTCTCCATGTTAAGTTATTTTAAACATTTAAAAGTATTTAAATTAATGTTATGCCAACGCATTCACTATCTTTTTAACTCTAATTGACCAGAAGCCTCAGATAGAAAGACATAGTACATATAAAGCTTTGACCTTACCTGAAACCTAATGTGCTCGCATCCAGAAACAACCAGATGACATTTCGTGTTAATCACCAATTTGCCAGAGAAGAGAATATTTCTACCTTTGTACACATTGATACAGATATGCAATTTGACCATTTACTGTGATTTTGTTTTTCGATGGGAATCATAGGAGGAACAGCTGGTCAGACAGAAAGATATTGTCAACTTTGCTCCAAACCTTGCCATAAAAGGATTGAAATTCTTCAGGAGACATTCAGTGTTTACCTCCAAGTTCCCTTTGTAAAAGCAGTCGCCATGAGCAGTTAGAACAGAGCTGACTCCCCAGCGAGGCCCTTGTACCTGCACTCTGCAATAAAACTGCTAATATACTTTTTTCTGTGGCAACTTCTCTTGGTGTCATCTTAGAGCTGTCTCAGATTACACTGTTTGGGATCTGCACTTTAAGCAACTGTCTTAGGGATTTGAACTGCCTTTGGAACTAAAATGCAGGCAAAACTCATTCAGCTTAGCATCCCCGATTGCTTTTCCTGTTTGTACAATAATAATTTTTGCATTACTTCATGTTCTGACTGTCGGGGACAGAAATATCAATTTGGCTCAGCCCCCAAGATTGGCGATTCTTCTTATTGTATTTCTTTCCAATCCTCCCCAGCTACTGGTGGTAAAAGGACGTTGGTGTGAGAAAAAAATGCTTTGATACCAAACAGCAAATATGGCGAAGCCTTGGTTGGATTTTTCCCCCTTTCTTTCTTTCCTTCTTTTTTCAGCCTGCTGTGCCACTGCATCCACACTTCATGGTACTCAAGCATGAACTCCTATTTACAACAGGGAAAAATGCCCTCAGCAAATCTCATACATCTACATGCAATGCCAGGGGTTATGGTGTGTGTGTATTTGGGGGGGGGAGGGGGGTTAATACCTATTCTGGTTTAGGTCCCCCTTTTACGAAAATTTGTGATGCCTTTAATCCGATTTCCTTATAAAAGCAATTAAATTTGGAAATGTGGATTTCTTTCATCCCTTCAGATTTTAATAAACTCTATCTGTCCCTCTCCCCTTTTTGCTTCCCACTATTTGATGTATACATTGATTAGCAACAGCCGGAAAATCAGTGCGTGGGGAGATGCAAGCGTGTACATAGACGCATATATTTTAATTTGGATAAGCTATACAGTGGGTAAATTCCTATAAGTGTCCTCAAGGGAATTTTTAGATTAAAATGTATAAAAATAATCGAAATATTTTAATCTCAAGACGTAGCTTGTTCACACAAGGAAGTTTATGATAAAAGGCAATAATACAGAGTCATAAAAAAGCTCCATAAATTTGTTAAAGAGCAGTTTGTTTGCATTTCTCCTGATTGATATGTAAATACAGTTTGAACTGTGTTTGCTTGGTCTCTAGTGCTTAATAAAGAGATGAATTCACCTTTCTGTGGAACAAGTAAACAGACTTTAAACTAAACCGACTTCAGACAATGTGGAAACGAGTTTATTTAATCGAAACTAAATCTAGTTTAAGAAAGATAAGTCCGTGTACATAATAATCCATTACTGTAATTACACCCACCACCAAATATGTGCTTATGAGGTTGTCCAGGTACAAATAAAATAATTTATTTCTCAAAATCTATTAAGGTAAATCACTAGTTAGTCCCAGATTTAAAGTGTCAACTTTTTTTTTCGGGCCATTAAAATATGAATGGGATTTTCGAATTGCTGCTAGTTCCCCCAGGTCCCTGCTCCGGACGGATTCTAAACTTAATTTCCAAGGCGATGGACCAAACGCCCCACACACCTTGATAATGCAGTTTTAAAGCTGGGAGCCAGGACCCTGGGCTCATTTCAGTGCCCAGAATGATGGGGCCCGGATGTCAGTGCTTCCCCTGCTCCGCACCCCGTGTAGAAGTTGGACACGATTTGTCCCTGCGCGACTGTTGGAAAAGACAGCGCTCAGCTCTAGGCTCTGGATCCTGGTATCCATACACAGTTATAAGCCTGCTCTTAATAGATTAATAAATACCCGCGAAATATTTTCTGCCCTGGTCGAGGGGTTTCCTATATGAACCAGAGTATCCGATAAGGCTGAAAGGTTCCCGCTGACACGTGGCATCCCTTAATTGTAGGAACGAGGAGTCGCTGCCCTTTGCAGTCTCGTTCCTTTTCCTTACTGCAAGCTCTGTGCCACTGAGTAACGCCAAGACTCTGCTCTAAACCGGCAGAGGAGCCTTCCGCAGCCCAGACTGGGGGCTGCGGGTTTCCACTCCTGCCTGCCTCCCTCTCCGGCTCGGAACTCCTTCCTCGTGCTCGGACCTTGCAGAGAGCCTCGGCTTTTGGGAGGCATTCCCGGGCGTGTCACTGTCGGGGGGGGACAGCTCCAGACGAGACGCCGGGCGGCCGCACTCTGAGCTCACTGACGGCGGCGGGAAGGGCTCAGCCTGAGCAGCAGGGATTTTCAGAGGCATGCCCACGAGGGCGCGAGAAGTTTGCTGCCAGCCGAGGTCAAGCTGCTTCCCACTGGAGGCTTGCTCTCGTCCCAGCAAACTTAGGAGGTAACTCCTCGAATTCCCCGCGCGCTTTGCTCCGCGCGCGCGTACACACGTGTGCTCCCTGGTGCGCGCCGAGCTCCCGCCCGGTGCCCGGCGTCCCTGCCCTGCCTGCCTGCGCGTGGGGACGGAATTCAGGCCGCTCTCGGAAAGAAAGTGAATTCCACCTCCACGTTGTACACAATGCACTATGGTTTTATTTTGATTCGAAATAAAGATGATCGCACCCCCACACCCCCGGGAATACAAGCACGCAGGGAACCCAGGTAGAAAGGAGCTGGTTACAAGTCGCTGCAGCCGGGCGCTCTGTAAAGCCTGTCCCTGAGGTGACTCCTTAGCTTGCTCCTAATGGCAGGGCGCTGGGACGCCCGCGGGCCGCCGGAGCGCCGTCCTCCTCGCCCAGCTGCCCGGGCTCCGGCCACCCGAGGGCGGCTCAGTGCTTGCTGGCCCCGAGCCTGCTGCGGCTCCCCTGGGGCGTCGGCAAAGCCAGGCTCCGGGCCCTTCTCTATTTCATGCCGGCTTCAGCATTTCTGAGCATCCCCGTTTGTTTTCAAACCAAAAGCAAAAGCACCAGGCGGGAAAAGCGAATGGAAATAATACTAGCAGTAGCAATAAGAATAATAAAAGAATATTTGCAATGCGTATAATTTATTAGAAGCTTCTGATGAACTATATCGAAGCCGAATATCTACATAAGTTACAACAGAAAAAGGAGACGTGCGCAAATGACAAGCTGCCAAAGGCTTTCACACGGATCGGGCAATGTCCATAAAAAAAAAAGGAGGGGGTGAGTTTCGTTTTGGTTGCTCGATTGTGTTTTTTTTTTTATACAACAAAATATACAGGTTACTAAAAACTAGGGGTTCAGTCCAACTTGTGACAGCATTATACAGCTACAGGTTCACATCAAACGCAAGGAGAAAAAAATCAAAATCATCGCCGCGCCGTGAGGAATCGGTGTCTGCATCCGCGGGCCCTGGCGGCGGGACCGGAGCGCGGCGCGGGCCGCTCCTTTGTCTGCTTTGGGGGAGAAGGCCCACCCCGCCCCCCAGAATCTCTATTTACAGACGAGTCCTATTCGCTGGCAAAGTGTACATTTGCAATCCAAGCCTTCAGACCGTGGCCACTCATGGGCTCCATTCTGCAACTGCTCCACCAATATTTTTAATACCCATTTAACAACCTAAAGTCACTCTCTCTAGTAGGGTTCCTCAAAGAACCACTCGTTAAAATGAAAAGGGGGGGAAAAGAAAGAGAAAGGAGCACGATTGGGAAAAAAAGGAAAAAGAAAAAGGAAAGCAAAAGAAAAACCACCCAGTAGTTTGAACAGGACAGAGGTTTGTGTGACTGGGAACATTTGACCTTTTTTTTTAATCCTTTCACCAGGTCCTACCGTATAGCAAAGTAGAGCAAGACATGGCAGTGCCATAGTCAGAGCTAGAAGAGTTTAGGTGAGACAAACTGGAGACCTGGCTCTGCAGGGATGAAGGGCTGGCCGAGTGCTGTCCCATGTCTGGAGACTGCCCTGCACTGTTTGTCTGGTGGCTCTGATGCTGTCCGAGGCTGTTGCCATTGGTAGCCACCGTGATTGCTGTAGCTGGCTGCTGCTGATGGCTCTGGATAGCGGCTGTGGGGGTGTTGGTGCCTGCTTGGCATGGCTTGCCATCCTTAACAAGCACTGGCACCGCCACTCTCCGAGGAGACTGCTGCTGTTGGCACGAGCTGTTGTCCTGTTGCATCTGCTGCTGAGCAGCTTTGTCTTTGGCCTGGCGCTTCATCTTGTAGCGGTGGTTCTGAAACCAGATTTTGACCTGAGTGGGGGTGAGGTGGATCATGCTGGCTAAATGTTCCCTCTCCGGAGCGGAGAGGTATTTCTGCTGCTTGAAGCGTCTCTCCAGCTCGTAGACTTGGGCCTGAGAGAAAAGGACCCTCCGCTTCCTGCGCGGAGTGCTCTGGAGAGGTGCCATGCTCTTGCTCACGTCCCCCAGGGCGCTCAGGCTCCCCATGCCGCCCATGTTCATTCCAGAAGACGGCCCCATGAAGCGGGAGACTGCGGGCGAGAAGAGGGCACGGTGTAAGCACCACAGGCAGAGCCACAGGCAGCCCCGCTCTCCCAGCCGGCCCCAGGCAACCGCTTCCCCCCAGGAAGCGCCGGTCTGCACCCACACAAAGCGGGGCAGGCTCCGGCCGCCAGCGGGCCGGGCTGCGATCCGATCCGCGCTCCTGCCCCGC